GGGGGTGGGCTAAGGATGTCGCCGGAGGAGCTGGAGGAGAGGGGAGCGGGGGGGGAGGGGTGGAGGAGGGGGGGGAGGGGTCATGGCAGGGGACGGGAGGAGGGGCAGTGTGTCAGTCCAGAGAAGGGGCCGGGGAAATGGGGGAAGGGGGTTAGGGGCGGAGGAAGAGGTGTAGTACGGGGTGGCCTCGTCAAAGACCACGTCCCGACTACGGATGAGGCGGCCTGAGGAGGGGTGGAGGAAAAGGTAGTCAGGTGAGGTGGTGTTGTGTCCAAGGTAGACACAGCAGAGTGCGAGACGCAAGCTTTCCACGTGCGCGTGGGCGGTCGGCAGGGTGTATGAGGACATACGCCTTGCAACCCCACACGCGCAGAGGGGATATGTTAGGCTTGCTGGAGGTCCATAGTTCGGTGGGGGTGGAGGTGGGACGAGAGGGGTGGGGGTAGAGGTTAGTGAGGATGGCAGCGTGAAGGATGGCATAGCCCCAAAGAGAAGGTGGGCAGGAGGCGTGAACGAGGAGGCACCGAGCAGTTTTGGTGATCTCCCGAACGCGGCTCTCCGCCACACCATTCTGCTGAGGGGAGTGAGGGAGAGTGTAGGTGTGGAGGATGCCGTGAGAGGTGCAGTAGGAGGACAGGGTGCGGTTGAGGAACTCACCGCCTCCATCGGAATGGAAGCAACGAACAGGGCGACCGAAGTGGTTGCGTGCTTGTTCAGCCCAGGCAGTGGTGGCAGCTGGGGCCTCCGCCTTCGTACGAAGGAGGGTGACGGAGGAGTATCGACTGTGATCATCCACCAGGATGAGGAGGTAGCGATGTCCTTGTCGGTGGGGGAAGGGTTGGGGCCCCAAAGGTCCATGTGGACGAGGTCAAGGGGTTGGAGGGAAAAAGAGGGGTTACTCGTATGTGGTTGTTGCTTCAGCTTGCTTTCAACACAAACTGAGCAAGGAAGAGAGGGGGAAGGAGGGAGGGGGGGGAAGGGTAAGGGGGAGGCCGTCAAGGAGTTTAGTGAGGATGGATCGGCGAAGGGTGGCAAAGTTGGGATGGCCGAGGCGATGGTGGAGGAGAATGGTGGGGTGTGTGAGATCACGACAGTGACAGGGGGAGGGTGGGTTAGATGCGGGGGGAGGGGAAGGGGCGGGGGGGAGGGGGAGGGGGAGAGGGAGGGGGAGGGGGAGGGGGAGGGGGAGGGGGAGGGGGAGGGGGAGGGGGGAGTTCGAGAGGAGGGGAAGGGGCGGGGGGATGGGGTGTGGAGAGTTGGTGAAGGGTGGGACGGGGGATGCGGAAGGTGTACATGTGGGTGGAGGGGCACCGATGGACACGGCAGAGGAAGCGACCAGAGGAGGTGTGAAATAAGTCGCAATATGCTTTGTGACCAGGGAATATGGCGGTGACACGTGAGTCGGAGAGGGCACCAAGGGATACCAAGTTGTTCCGAAGGGAGGGGATATAGAGACCTGTGACAGTACCTGAGGGAAAGAGGGGACAGGGGAGTGTGGAGGTGTAACGGCTTTGTATCGCAAAGCTGGAGTCAGCCCCAAGTATTGTGGAGGGGGTGGAGAGGGGGAGGAGCGTGCCTGCGTCACGAAGGACCGTGTGCGTGGCTCCGCTATCAAGGATGAACTCAAGGGGCTTTGAGGAGGAGGGGGACTCGGAGTACTGGAATGAGGACTCATTAATAGCATTGGCATACATAGGATCATTGCAAGAGCTAGCAGTGGTGACATGACCTATGAAACCCGTGGAAGGAAACGGTGTGAAGCCGGGGGGGTGAGAGGGGGAGGTGGGTAGTTCAGCAGTTGCAGCAGTTGCAGCTGTCCCATGGCCATACAGAGATGGGGGGTAGGGAGGGTAGGGCCAGCCAACGTAAGGAGGAGGATAAGGGGAGAGAGGAGGATAGGGGGAGGGAGGGGTTTGAGGTGCGAGGGTGGGTGTGGTGAGGGTGGGAGGCGTTGGGGTGGTGGTGGGTGTGGGGAGGAGGTGTTGGACTTGCTGGAGGACGTGAGGGGAGAGGTGTTGGGCGAGGACATTATGGAGGTTGGGGGGAGATGGTGCATAGGCGGGGAGGGTGCGAATGTCATGAGGGGTCGGGCGAGGGGTGATGGTGCTCCAGCGTGGAGGAGGGCCCGTGTTGCCGCGTGCAAGCCATTCGTCGGTGAGAGCTTTGAAGCACGTATCAGTGGGATGGGTGGTCTGGTTGCAGGTCTGACCTTTGTTAGGGCCTTGGCGAATGACATACTGGCATGGAGGGAGCCCACCCGTGGTTGAAGTGGTTGCCCCACGCCCGCCACGTTCCCCAGTGCGCCCTCCTCGTCCACCTCCGCGACCACCTCCTCTTCCACCACCGCCCGAGCCACGTCGTGGTCCGCCCCCGCTGTTTCCGCCGGTGTTTGTTCCTTTGCGCGCATGAACGGCATTGATGGAGGCAGATTCACGCAGAAGGTCAGCCTCACTGTCAAGGAGCCAGTCGATGGTAACAGCCACAGGAGGAGGACGGATGTGCTGGGAGGTGAAATTGATGCGGTAAATGTCGTAGGTGGGTGGGAGGCAGTCAAGGATGCGTGCTGTGAGGAGGGTGTCGGAGATCAAGATGCCACGATCATTGAGACGTTGTGCAGTGTCCGTGAGACGCCGAGCGAAGGAAGCAGCGTTGAGGGAGGAGTCCAGTGTGATGTCTTGGAAGGTGCGAAAGAGGGAGAGGAGGGAACGTAAGTCTTGGCGATCATATTGGGAGGAGAGAGACTTCCAGAGGGAGGGGGAGGATGGGGGGCGAAGGTCACGCTTGAGAGAGGAGGGAACGCATGAGAAGATGATAGTAAGTGCACGGCGGTCAGCAATGCGCCATGCAGCTGTATCGGAGTGGTGCTTACGGAGCTTAGCAGAGTACTCTTCGGAGGCGGCTTTGAATTCTGCAAGTTTTGCAGTGGCAGCTTCGTGATCGACGATGGCAGCTGCGTGTGCTCTGCTTTTGATGACATAGTCGTCCCGCTCCTTGTTGTATTTGTTGAGCGTGCAAGCCCACCTGTCTGGATCATCCTCCCAAGCCCCTAGGATAGGGGCTTGGGGGGCAGGTTCGGTCGGGAGTGGTGGGGCGTCGGGGGGGGAGGAGCCTGGGAGTGGGGGCGGAGTGGGGGGGAGGCCATCAGGTGTTTCGAGGACAACGTCTAGGAGGCAGTAATCTCCCACTCGAACGGAGCCCAGGTACGTGAAGACGCTCTCCTCAAACGACACCCAATTGACGGCGGTGGTGCCGTTGAGGAGCTGGAGCTTGTCGATGGAGGCAAGCTCAAGCGAGGTTGATTCGTCGGCCATGAGAGGAGGAGGAGGGAGGGAGGGGAGGTGGACGACACCGTCTTGAGGGACAGAGCGGTCCGGCTGCTCCACGGGCGGTAGCAGCAAACCCTAATTCAGGGTCCGTCGCGGCTGGTGGGCGTCTCCGCGGCATCCGCGACATCCGCAGCTGGTGGGCGTCTCCGCGGCGTCCGCGGCTGACGGCCGCGTTCGTCGCGTCCGCGGCTGACGGCCGCGTTCGTCGCGTCCGCGGCTGACGGCCGCGTTCGTCGCGTCCGCGGCTGACGGCCGCGTTCGTCGCGTCCGCGGCTGACGGCCGCGTTCGTCGCGTCCGCGGCTGACGGCCGCGTTCGTCGCGTCCGCGGCTGACGGCCGCGTTCGTCGCGTCCCCGACTGACGGGCGCGTTTGTCGCGTCCGCGGCTGACGGTCGCGTTCGTCGCGTTCGCGGCTGACGGTCGCGTTCGTCGCGTCCGTGGCTGACGGTCGCGTTCGTCGCGGCCGCGGCTGATGGGCGCGTTCGTCGCGTCCGCGGCTGACGGTCGCGTTCGTCGCGGCGGGCGGACGTGGTGAGGAGAGGGGCGCCGAGATGGCGCGAGGGGCACGGCAGAGTCGGCGGGAGGTGCGCTGAGCGGCGCGAGGGGCACGGCTGAGCCGGCGGGAGGTGCGCTAAGTGGCGCAAGGAGCACGGCAGAGCCTGCGGGAGGTGCGCTGAGCGGCGCGAGGGGCACGGCTGAGCCGTCGGGAGGTGTGCTAAGTGGCGCAAGGGGCACGGCAGAGCCGGCGGGAGGTAGAGTATGGTCCTAGGATCTTGAGTGGCGTTAGCCGTAAGAGCTCGGATAACATGTGAGAATTGAACCGATGAGTTGATTAGGAATGATGAGGGCTTACATAGTTGGAGCTAAGGAAAGGGGGGGTGGTTGGTACCTAGCCAACATTATTGGCCCCCACCAATAAGTTGGGTTGGAGAATTATTGGGGGGTCCCAATTAGGGATGAGCAAAGGGCGAACACGAACATGTTCGTCTTCGCCCCTTGTCGAACACCCTCTTTTGCCGAACCGAACAGTGTTCGGTTCGGCGAACAGTTTAGGAAAAAACAGGTGTTCGCTGTTCGCCTGTGGAGGCGTGTTCGGGCGAACCTCGAACACTGTTCGTGTTCGTCGCGGGCAAATTTCAGCAGCGGCCCGAACACGAACGTGTTCGGGCGAACATCGAACACTGTTCGGCGAACGATTTGAGCTAAAAAACAAAACCTGTTCGGTTCGCCTCGAACACGTTCGAGGCGAACCGAACAGGTGTTCGCCACCTTGCTCATCCCTAGTCCCAATAATGTTGGTCAAAGTGGGCCAACATTATTGGGGGGGCCAATAATCCTCCAACCCAACCTTGGGGTCCAATAATTGGGCCAAGGTTGGGTTCCAACCCCCACCTAGGGTTAACCCTAGTTGTGCACCCAAACATTGTTTGGGTGCCTATCTCTATCATAGGGTTTATAGGATCAATGCAGGATACAGAAGAGTAGTATAATCTAACATCTTCCCCTCCACCATTTCCCAGCTGGATACTGCTTTGGTGACAGGCAGTGGCAGAGTCGAGGACGGGGAGGGCCGTGGGGTGGAGGGAGCGACAGTGCTGCTGGACGGGCTCTCACGGCTGCTCAATTCTTTTCCCTCTCCGCCCTTTCACCCTCTTCCCCTCCACCTTTTCCCAGCTGGAAACTGCTTTGGTGACAGGCAGTGGCAGAGTCGAGGACGGGGAGGGCCGTGGGGTGGAGGGGGCGACAGTGATGGTGGATGGGCTTTCAGTGGCTGTGACAGACGCTCTGGTGAGTTGCTAGTGCGGTAGCCTATTAGGACTTGTCAAGTGGGTGGAGCATGGGGAGAGTAGGTCGTGGGTGGAGGGGGCAGCAGTGATGGTGGATGGGCTTTCAGTGGCTGTGACAGACGCTCTGGTGAGTTGCTAGTGCTACTGGTGGCTAGGGGTGTTATAGGTAGTGTCACAGAGGCAGGTTGTGGAGGGAGCGACAGTGATGCTGGATGGGCTTTCAGCGGCTGTGACAGGCGCTCTGGTGAGTTGCTAATGCCAGTTCTCCCTCTGATTAGAGGTGCTGTAGGTGCCCTCTTTGATGTTATGGTGTATTGGAGGAGGATGGGGAGGGCCGTGGGGTGGAGGGGGCGACAGTGAGTGATGCTGAATGGGCTGTCACTGATCCTATGGTGAGTTATTGGTGCTGGTGCTCCCTTTGGCTAGGGGGTGTTGTAGGTGTTTCAGCGGGTGGAGGATGGGGAAGGCTGTGGGGTGGAGGGGGCGACTGTGATGCTGGATGGGCTATTCGTGTATGTCACTGATGCTCTTGTGGGCTATTGGTGGTACTGGTGGCGGCTGTTGTGGTGAGAGGATGATGGGGGGGGAGTAGGCCCTGGGGTGGAGGATAGGGCGACTGTGATGCTGGATGGGCTCTCAGAGGCTGTGACTACGCTCTGGTATGGTGAGTGTGAGTGTCACAAGGTGCGCAGAATGGGTGTGGCAATGCGACCATGGCCTTTGTGCAAGGCTATAGTGAGTGTGAGTGTCACAAGGTGTTTCTGTGTTACGGTTGCTACAGGGTTGCTGCTGTGTAACCCTATTGTGATTGCACCTGTTGCTGTGTAACCCTATTGTGATTGCACCTGATGCTGTGTAACCCTATTGTGATTGCACCTCATGCTGTGTACCACCTGATTCCTTTTCCTTGCACTCCCGGCTTTCATGCCAATATCCTTGCCCGCTCTCCTCTTTGCCTCCCTCTCCTCTCCTCTCCGCAACCCTTTTCCCTTCTCTGCAGGGCGACTATTCCTTCACATTCCCCACCTCCCTCCTCTCATCTGCACCCCTCCACCACCCCCCCTCTGCAACACCCATCCCGCCTCCCACTCCTCCCACTCCGCCCCCTCCTTCCCCACCTCTCCCCACCACTCACACCATATCAGCAGTCCGACCCCTCTATGTCTTCCCAACCCTTTCAAACATCACCCTCCCTCCTGCTCCTGCTACCGCCACTGCTGCTACTGATGATGCCAAAGCCACCACCGATGCAAGCGAAACAGAAGCTGCCGCGCTAACTGCCATTTCCCTGCCGCCCATCCGTGCCACCCGGTATGCGCTGTGCGGGCGCGTGGAGATGGACCCGGGCGGCGAGTCGTCCTTTGTGCCGTGGCGGCGGGTGGAGCTAAGCCGAGCTGGCGATTTCGACTGGTCTCACATGGACGGTTCTCAGGACCCCAGCTGGGGGGCTCTGAGCAGCATGCGTTCAGGCGGAATTAGCAGTGGCAGCAGCAGCAGGAGCAGTGGCAGCAGCAGCAGCAACAAGGGGTTGAGTAGGCAGGAGGCGAGCAGGAGTGTGGCTCCGGTGATTGCTGAGGCGGACAAGGATGGCCGGTTCTGCTTCATGGTGGGTGGGGTGGGGTGGGGTGGGTGGGGTGGGTGGGTGGTTTGATCTGGATTGGAAACGAGTGTGAGCGGGGAGAGCATGGGGTGAGCAATTGAGCAGGCAGGAAGCGAGCAGGAGTGTGGCTCCGGTGATTGCTGAGGCATACAAAGATGGCCGGTTCTGCTTCATGGTGGGTGTTGGTGAGCGGTGGTGAGCGGTGGTGAGCGGTGGTGAGCAGTGGTGAGCGGTGGTGAGCAGTGGTGAATGGCGGTGAGTGGCTGTAGGCAGGAGGCGGGCAGGAGTGTGGCTCCGGTGATTGCTGAGGCGGACAAGGATGGCCGGTTCTGCTTCATGGTGGGTGGGGTGTATGGAAGTGGGTGAGAGGAGAGATGAGTGAGTGGAGAATAGGGTGCATGGAGAGATGAGTGGAGATGGGTGGAGATGAGTGGAGATGGGTGGAGATGGGTGGAGCTGGGTGGAGATGGGTGGAGATGGGTGACTCTAGGCGATACCTGAGGATGGAGTGCAAATTGGTCGTAAGACATGGGAGATCCTCAAAAGAGGTTCCATTGTTTTTTGTCCGATGCATTTTTTGGGGGAGAGCTTGGTGTGTTGGCAATTACGCGGCAGCTAGGTGACTTTTGAGTCGACTCAAAAGTCAGCTTGTTGTGTTGGCAATTACGTGGCAGCTTGTTTACTTGGGGCTGATTCTAGGTGCAACAGAAAGTTCCTTAGCACTTTCCTGCCCTACTCACTCCCTTCCCCTCCCTCCTCCCCTCCTTTCTTCCCCCTCTCCCCCATCCCACTCCATTTTACTGTTGACCCAACTCCCACTCTCTCCTGCTGCCCCCAGGTGCCACGTGGCAGCTACCAATTGGTGCCTGAGATTAGCCCAGATGAGGTGGCAGCAGGGCTGGTCTTCTCCCCCTCTATAGAGGAATCCGTTACTGTCACATCTGCCCCCGTCACAAACATAGTCTTCAAACAGGTATGCAACATGACTACACCCTGATTTTACGATTTATATATCATATGATATCGTATCGTATCGGACCATATCGTACTATATTGAATCGTATCATAATGTACCGCATCATATTGTATCACATCGTATCGTTTCGTATCCATCTGTATTGTAACAAACCTTACAGTCACTACTGTTATTCACACCTGTTCCATTTTCCCCACCCATCCCCATTACAGTCACACCTGTTCATATCAGGCAAGGTGCGGTGCCTGCAGGGGTGTGACTCAACCGTTTCAGTCACACTCTGGGCTCTCACAGACAATGGGGCAGATGAACGGGCAGATGAACGGGCAGATGGAGAGACGGAGCAGCAGCAGGGCACGTTTTTACAACGGGTGGTAGTGGGAGGAGGGGAGGGGGAGAAGGGGGGGAAGGCGGAAGGTCAAAGGGGAAAGGCGAAGGGGAGAAGGAAGGTAAATGAGAGAGGGGAGGGGAAGGGGAGGAGTGCAGTTGTGGTGGAGGAGAAAGGGACGGTCGGATCGTTCTTCTTTGACCGTCTGCTGCCTGGGTCATACCGAATTGAGGTGAGTGGGGCATGTCAATGTGTCATTGATTGGAGAGGTGTGTTTCACAGGGGAGACCAGAGGGGAAGGGGACGGGAGGTAGTAGCGGGGCAGTGAAGAGAGGGGCACAGCATTGGGGGCAGATCGTTCTTCTTTGACAGATTGCTGCCTGGGTCGTACCGAATCGAGGTGGGTTGGCCAGGCCACCGGAGGAAACTCTAATGAGCTCTCTTCTTGCCATTCTTACGTTTTGCTTCCCCCTCTCATCTCGTTTTGCCCCTTTCCGCTTCTCTCCTGTCCTCTATCTTCCACTATCCCTCCCCACCCCATGCAGGCCGATGCAGCTCCCAGCAATAATGCCACTGCCTGCTGGGAGGAGTACGCACGTCAACAAAATGCTCCCATCCCCCACTTCGTCCCCCCTCCCACTCCCCCCTTTCCCTCCACACAAAAGGCTCGTAAGACTCCCGCCACTGCCACCGCTCTGCAGAGCGGCGAGTGGTGCTGGGAGGAGGAGGGCCGCACTGACGTGGCGGTGTTTGATTCGCCCGTGACGAACGTACAGCTGGCGCAGCGCGGGTGGCGTATGGTGGTGCGGGCGGCAATGGACGACAGGTTCACGTTGACTCACGGGGAATATGACCCCACTGACTTCTCTGTCTCGGTAGGTGTGGCTGTTGGTATGGTACTGTGGTATAGTGTGGCGTAGTGAGGTATTGTGTGGTTTCCAAACCTGCTTTCACACGCAGAGCGGGTCAGCAATGTATGACAGATTCACGTTGACTCACGGGGAGTATGACCCTACTGACTTCTCTGTGTCTGTGAGTGTGTGGTGCCATAGGGGGAGACTGGTAGCATGGTGGTGCGGGCAGCCATGGAGGACAGGTTCACTTCGAATCACGGGGACTATGACCCCACTGACTTGTCTGTGTCGGTAGGTGCACTACTTGGAGGCGTGGCGTTACAGCATTGCACACAACAGTGGTAACGCATGGTGGTGCGGGCAGCTATGGATGACAGGTTTACTCTGAATCACGGGGACTATGACCCCACTGACTTGTCTGTGTCTGTGAGTGCGGCTGTTGGTATGGTAATACTGTGGTATAGTGTGGCGTAGTGAGGTATAGTGTGGTGTCTGAACCTGCTTTCACACGCAGAGGGGGGTCAGCCATGGAGGACAGATTCACGTTGACTCACGGAGACTATGACCCCGCTGACTTCTCTGTCTCGGTAAGATAAGAGCATGCAGCAATGGCAAGAGCAGGCGTTGAGGTTGTATTGAAGTGTCAAGAGAGAGAGAGAGGGGTGGCGCATGGTGGTTTGGGCAGCCATGGACGACAGATTCACACTGACCCACGGCGACTATGACCCCACTGACTTGTCTGTGTCGGTGAGAGCATGGCACCACTCCATACGATGGTCCATAGAGATAGGTAGGTGGCTGGAGGGGGTTCTCCACAGGGGGAGAGAGAGTGGGTGGCGCATGGTGGTGCGAGCAGCCATGGACGACAGATTTACGTTGACCCACAGGGCTGACTTCAGAGTCGACTCAAAAGTCAACGAGGACAGATTCACGTTGACCCACAGGGACTACGACCCACAGGCAACTATGACCCCACTGACTTCTCTGTCTCGGTGGCAGCAGCGCAGCTGTTGGCTCATAGTGTGGCGGCTGAGTGACTTCTTTGTGAACCACTCTGAATGGCACGCACATAGACGGTTGCCATGGAGGGCTGGTTCACGCTGTCTTTTGAGACAACTCAGAAGGCTCACACTGACTCACGGCGACTATGACCCCACTGGCTTCTCTGTGTCGGTGAGTGTGTGGTGCCATTGGGGGAGAATGATAACAAGGTGGTGCGGGCCGCAATGGATGACAGGTTCATGCTGACTCACGGCGACTATGATCCCACTGGCTTCTTTGTGTCGGTGAGAGCAGCTGTTGGTCTCACACTGTGGCATAGTGTGGTGTAGTGCAGTGCAACGCGGCGTAGTGTGGTGACTGAAAGTGTTCCCAAACATAGTGAGAGGGCAGCAGTGGAGAACAGGTTCACATCACATTGACTTGTGACGACCACACCACTCCACTCATTTCATCTTATTGGTAACCCCACCCCTTTACAACCCTGTCCACCGCTTTGCAGCCTGGAGTGCAGGAGTTCTGTGTGGAGTTACGAGGAGAATACACCCTCGCCATGTCACAGTCTCCACTTAACCTGCCATACCCCTTGTCACCCCTCTCCACCCTTCTTCACCCCACTCCACCTTTCTCCACCGCTCTGCAGCCTGGAGTGCAGGAGTTCTGTGTGGAGTCCCCAGGAGAGTACACCCTCGCCATGTCCCACGCCTGTGCCTACTACGGGGCTCTGTCTTTCTCCTTCCACACGCGCCAGCCCCAGGTATTCCCGTCAATCCTCAGATGTTCTCTCTTCTGTTTGCATAGGCGCCACCCTCGCCATGTCCCACGCCTGTGCCTACTACGGGGCTCTCTCTTTCTCCTTCCACACCCACGGACTACTGCCTGTCCTCCTGACTCCCACGGCCTACTGCCTATCCTCCTGACTCCCACGGCCTACTGCCTATCCTCCTGACTCCCACGGCCTACTGCCTATCCTCCTGACTCCCACGGCCTACTGCCTATCCTCCTGACTCCCACGGCCTACTGCCTATCCTCCTGACTCCCACGGCCTACTGCCTATCCTCCTGACTCCCACGGCCTACTGCCTATCCTCCTGACTCCCACGGCCTACTGCCTATCCTCCTGACTCCCACGGCCTACTGCCTATACTCCTGACTCCCACGGCCTACTGCCTATCCTCCTGACTCCCACGGCCTACTGCCTGTCCTCCTGACTCCCACGGCCTACTGCCTATCCTCCTGACTCCCACGGCCTACTGCCTATCCTCCTGACTCCCACGGCCTACTGCCTATCCTCCTGACTCCCACAGCCTACTGCCTGTCCTCCTGACTCCCACGGCCTACTGCCTATCCTCCTGACTCCCACGGCCTACTGCCTATCCTCCTGACTCCCACGGCCTACTGCCTATCCTCCTGACTCCCACGGCCTACTGCCTGTCCTCCTGACTCCCACGGCCTACTGCCTATCCTCCTGACTCCCTCGGCCTACTGCCTATCCTCCTGACTCCCACGGCCTACTGCCTATCCTCCTGACTCCCACGGCCTACTGCCTATCCTCCTGACTCCCACGGCCTACTGCCTATCCTCCTGACTCCCACGGCCTACTGCCTATCCTCCTGACTCCCACGGCCTACTGCCTGTCCTCCTGACTCCCACGGCCTACTGCCTATCCTCCTGACTCCCACGGCCTACTGCCTATCCTCCTTACTCCCACGGCCTACTGCCATTCCTCCTGACTCCCACGGCCTACTGCCTATCCTCCTGACTCCCACGGCCTACTGCCTGTCCTCCTGACTCCCACGGCCTACTGCCTGTCCTCCTGACTCCCACGGCCTACTGCCTATCCTCCTGACTCCCACGGCCTACTGCCTATCCTCCTGACTCCCACGGCCTACTGCCTATCCTCCTGACTCCCTCGGTCTACTGCCTATCCTCCTGACTCCCACGGCCTACTGCCTGTCCTCCTGACTCCCACGGCCTACTGCCTATCCTCCTGACTCCCACGGCCTACTGCCTATCCTCCTGACTCCCACGGCCTACTGCCTATCCTCCTGACTCCCACGGCCTACTGCCTATCCTCCTGACTCCCACGGCCTACTGCCTATCCTCCTGACTCCCACGGCCTACTGCCTATCCTCCTGACTCCCACGGCCTACTGCCTATCCTCCTGACTCCCACGGCCTACTGCCTGTCCTCCTGACTCCCACGGCCTACTGCCTATCCTCCTGACTCCCACGGCCTACTGCCTATCCTCCTTACTCCCACGGCCTACTGCCATTCCTCCTGACTCCCACGGCCTACTGCCTATCCTCCTGACTCCCACGGCCTACTGCCTGTCCTCCTGACTCCCACGGCCTACTGCCTGTCCTCCTGACTCCCACGGCCTACTGCCTATCCTCCTGACTCCCACGGCCTACTGCCTATCCTCCTGACTCCCACGGCCTACTGCCTATCCTCCTGACTCCCTCGGTCTACTGCCTATCCTCCTGACTCCCACGGCCTACTGCCTATCCTCCTGACTCCCACGGTCTACTGCCTATCCTCCTGACTCCCACGGCCTACTGCCTATCCTCCTGACTCCCACGGCCTACTGCCTATCCTCCTGACTCCCACGGCCTACTGCCTATCCTCCTGACTCCCACGGCCTACTGCCTATCCTCCTGACTCCCACGGCCTACTGCCTATCCTCCTGACTCCCACGGCCTACTTCCTATCCTCCTGACTCCCACGGCCTACTGCCTATCCTCCTGACTCCCACGGCGTACTGCCTGTCCTCCTGACTCCCACGGCCTACTGCCTATCCTCCTGACTCCCACGGCCTACTGCCTATCCTCCTGACTCCCACGGCCTACTGCCTATCCTCCTGACTCCCACGGCCTACTGCCTATCCTCCTGACTCCCACGGCCTACTGCCTATCCTCCTGACTCCCACGGCCTACTGCCTATCCAGCCCTGTCTTCCTCAACGCCTCCCTGTCTGCACTTTTTTTTTTTTTTTTTTTCCCTGCTCTTACTCCCTCCTTTCTCTGCCCCCCTCTGCAGCCCATTCGCCTGATTCCCATGGCCTACCGTGTGTCCGGCCCTGTCCTCCTCAACACTTCCCTCCTCGTCATGTTTCTTCCCCCTTTCTCCTGCAGCCCATCTTCCTGACCCCTACAGCCTACCGCGTGTCCGGCCCTGTCCTCCTCAACACCTCCCTCCTCTTCATGTTTCTCCCCTTCATGTCTTCATGTTTCTCCCCTTCGTGTCTTCATGTTTCTCCCCTTCGTGTCTTCATGTTTCTCCCCTTCGTGTCTTCATGTTTCTCCCCTTCGTGTCTTCATGTTTCTCCCCTTTGTGTCTTCATGTTTCTCCCCTTCGTGTCTTCATGTTTCTCCCCTTCGTGTCTTCATGTTTCTCCCCTTCGTGTCTTCATGTTTCTCCCCTTCGTGTCTTCATGTTTCTCCCCTTCGTGTCTTCATGCTTCTCCCCTTCGTGTCTTCATGTTTCTCCCCTTCGTGTCTTCATGTTTCTCCCACCTCCCCCCTTTCTCCTGCAGCCCATCTTCCTGACTCCCACAGCCTACCGAGCATCTGGCCCCGTTTTCCTCAACACGTCCCTTTGGTTATACTCTTTCTCTCTCTTTCTCTCTCTTTCTCCTCTCTCTCCCCTCTGTCTGCTGCAGCCCATCATCCTGACTCCCACGGCCTATCGAGTCTCTGGCCCCGTTTTCCTCAACACCTCCCTCCTCCCGCCATCGCTCTCCCACCTTTCTCTCGAAGCAAGCATTGTCGCACGCATCAGTGGGAATGGCGGTGGGGGTGACAGCTACGGCTCTCTCTCAGTGCGCCGCCCACCATCCAGGGAGGACCCTCTGGCAATTTATGAGCAGGTGAGGCATGGTGGGGCATGTTGAGGCATGGTGGGGCATGGTGAGGCATGGTGGGGCATGGTGAGGCATGGTGGGGCAAGGTGAGGGGTGGTGAGGGGCGGTGAGGCAACCATCAACGCGCGCATCAGTGGGAATGGCGGTGGGAGCGACTGACAGCTACGGCACTCTTTCAGTGCACCGCCCACCATTTAAGGAAGACCCTGTAGCTATCTATGAGCAGGTGAGGCATTGGGGACTGTGGTGGGCAGTGGTGAGCAGTGGTGAACAGTGGTGGGCAGTGGTGGGCAGTGGTGAGCAGTGGTGGGCAGTGGTGAGCAGTGGTGAGCACCCACACCGTTGTTGTATGTGGGCACATTTGTTACTGCTCGTTCACCCACCTTTCTCTTGAAGCAACCATCGTCGCGCGCATCAGTGGGAATGGCGGTGGGAGTGACTGACAGCTACGGCTCTCTCTCAGCTCAGTGCGCTGCCCACCGTCCAAGGAGGACTCTGTGGCAATCTACAAGCAGGTGAGGCACGGTGAGGAATGGTGAGGCATGGTGAGCAGTGGTGAGGCGTGATGATCACCCACACCACTGTCATATGACGGTTACGTCTATTACCTGGTTATCAATTACCCGGTTACATCTCTCCCTCAGTGCGCCGCCCACCATCCAGGGAGGATCCTGTTGCAATCTACGAGCAGGTGAGGCGCGGTGAGGGATGGTGATCAGTGGTGAGGAGTGGTGGAGTGAGAATGCTAGTTACGGCTCCCTCAGTGCGCTGCCCACCATCCAGGGAGGATCCTGTGGCGATTCACTCAACTGCTCATGTGTGTTGAGGGTATTTTTGAGGCGTCTCAAAAACACCCACCATCCACGGAGGATCCTGTGGCAATCCACTCCACTGCTTGATTGAAGAAGTGTTTTGAGACGCCCACGTGTTTCGTCTCCAGTGTCTCAAAACACTTCTTCAATCACGTGTTTCGTCTCCAGTGTCTCAAAACACTTCTTCAATCACGTGGCAATCCACTCCAGTGCTCATCATCCTTATCGTGCCTCTGCTTCCTTGCCGCCCACTCCTCTCTTCTCCTTTTCTTCCCTATGCCGTGCAGTCCTATTGGCTTGAACCACACGCCAGTCTCGTGCTCTCTCTCCACCACTCGGGCTTCCCATCCGCACCTCTCACACTCTCATCCACTGCTGATGCTGCTGCTAGTGCTGCTGCTAGTGCTGCTGCTAGTGCTGCTGCTAGTGATGATGCTGCTGCTGATGTTAATGCTGGGGAGGTGGAAGCAGGGGAGGTGGATATTAGGGAGGTGGATTTAGGGGAGGGGTGGGAGCAGGAAGTGCAGGGGGGGCAAGAATTTGGCGAGGGAAACTTGGAAGCAGGGATTTCGTCTGCAAGGTGAGTGTGAGTATGAGTGTGAGTCCATAGGGTGAGATTGTTGTGTGAGTCTAAGTGAGTCGACAGGGTGAGTGTGCGTGCGAGTGAGAGTGTGAGTGACTGTGTGTGTGGGTGTGAGCATGAGTGACGGTGGGAGTGAGAGTGAGTGAGCCAGATAGATTGAGTGGTTGAGTGACGGTGGGAGTGAGAGTGAGTGAGTCAGATAGGTTGAGTGGTGGAGTGACGGTGGGAGTGAGAGTGAGTGAGTCAGATAGGTTGAGTGGTTGAGTGACGTGGGCGTGAGTCTACGAGGCGAGTGAGCCAGAGTGTGAGTGTGAGTGAATGTGTGTGCAAGTGTGAGTGAATGTGTGTGCGAGTGTGAGTGAATGTGTGTGCGAGTGAGTGAATGTGTGTGCGAGTGTGAGTGAATGTGTGTGCGAGTGTGAGTGAATGTGTGTGCGAGTGTGAGTGAATGTGTGTGCGAGTGTGAGTGAATGTGTGTGCGAGTGTGAGTGAGTGTGTGAGCGAGTGTGAGTGAGTGTGCGTGTGAGTGAGAGTGAGCGAATCAGAAAGGTCAAGCGGTTGATTCTTGGAGAGGAGTCTATGAGTGAGCCTGAGTGCAAGTGAGAGTGTGGGCGTGAGCGAGTGCATGTGAGAGCGAGTGAGTGAGTGAGTCAGGTAGGTCAAGTGGTTGAGGAGTCTATGAGTGAGTGAGTGAGTGAGTGAGTGTCACATTGTGGCCTTTCCTTTGGTGCATGTCAAGCCATGATTCTCTGATGCATTGCATCTCCCCCACTCATTCGTTTTTTCCTCCCACCGTTTGCCCTCCACCTCCCGCCGTTTGCCCTCCACCTCCCGCCGTTTGCCCTCCACCTCCCGCCGTTTGCCCTCCACCTCCCGCCGTTTGCCCTCCACCTCCCGCCGTTTGCCCTCCTCCTCCCACCGTTTGCCCTCCTCCCACTGTTTGCCCTCCACCTCCCGCCGTTTGCCCTCCACCTCCTGCCGTTTGCCCTCCACCTCCCACCGTTTGCCCTCCACCTCCCGCCGTTTGCCCTCCACCTCCTGCCGTTTGCCCTCCACCTCCTGCCGTTTGCCCTCCACCTCCCGCCGTTTGCCCTCCACCTCCCGCCGTTTGCCCTCCACCTCCCGCCGTTTGCCCTCCACCTCCCGCCGTTTGCCCTCCACCTCCCGCCGTTTGCCCTCCACCTCCCGCCGTTTGCCCTCCACCTCCCGCCGTTTGCCCTCCACCTCCCGCCGTTTGCCCTCCACCTCCCGCCGTTTGCCCTCCTCCTCCCACCGTTTTCCCTCCTCCCGCCGTTTGCCCTCCACCTCCCGCCGTTTGCCCTCCACCTCCCGCCGTTTGCCCTCCACCTCCCGCCGTTTGCCCTCCTCCTCCCACCGTTTGCCCTCCTCCCACTGTTTGCCCTCCACCTCCCGCCGTTTGCCCTCCACCTCCTGCCGTTTGCCCTCCACCTCCCGCCGTTTGCCCTCCACCTCCCGCCGTTTGCCCTCCAACTCCCGCCGTTTGCCCTCCTCCTCCCACCGTTTGCCCTCCACCTCCCGCCGTTTGCCCTCCACCTCCTGCCGTTTGCCCTCCACCTCCCGCCGTTTGCCCTCCACCTCCCGCCGTTTGCCCTCCACCTCCCGCCGTTTGCCCTCCACCTCCCGCCGTTTGCCCTCCACCTCCCGCCGTTTGCCCTCCACCTCCCGCCGTTTGCCCTCCACCTCCCGCCGTTTTCCCTCCACCTCCCGCCGTTTGCCCTCCACCTCCCGCCGTTTGCCCTCCACCTCCCGCCGTTTGCCCTCCACCTCCCGCCGTTTGCCCTCCACCTCCCGCCGTTTTCCCTCCACCTCCCGCCGTTTGCCCTCCACCTCCCGCCGCTTGCCCTCCACCTCCCGCCACTTGCCCTCCACCTCCCGCCGCTTGCCCTCCACCTCCCGCCGCTTGCCCTCCACCTCCCGCCGTTTGCCCTCCACCTCCCGCCGTTTGCCCTCCACCTCCGGCCTTTTGCCCTCCACCTCCCGCCGTTTGCCCTCCACCTCCCGCCGTTTGCCCTCCACCTCCCGCCGTTTGCCCTCCACCTCCCGCCGTTTGCCCTCCACCTCCCGCCGTTTGCCCTCCACCTCCCGCCGTTTGCCCTCCACCTCCCGCCTTTTGCCCTCCACCTCCCGCCGTTTGCCCTCCACCTCCCGCGGTTTGCCCTCCACCTCCCGCCGCTTGCCCTCCACCTCCCGCCGTTTGCCCTCCACCTCCCGCCGCTTGCCCTCCACCTCCCGCTGTTTTCCCTCCTCCACCCGCCCCGTGCCTCTCCCCAGTGCTCCAACCTACAGATCCGAGAATTCCAAAGAAAAAACTTCCCCAGATGGCACCTCCTTTTGATCATGCATCACCCCTCATGCCTTCTCTGCCCGCCCCGTGCCTCTCCCCAGCTCTCCAACCGACAGGTCCGAGAATTCCAAAGAAAATCCTTCCCCAGATGGCACCTTCCCCTACCCACCAACCCCGCGGCTCCTCTTTTACCCTTCAGCCATCCCTGTAAGTGCAATAGAGGTCTCTTACATTCCCAGATAGCACCTTCCCCAGGTGGCACCTTCCCCTACCCACCAACCCTGCGGCTCTTGTTTTACCCTTCAGCCATTCCTGTAAGTGCAATAGAGGTCTCTTTTATTCCCTAAAAGCACCTTCCCCAGATGACACCTTCCCCTGCCACCAACCCCACGGCTCCTCTTTTACCCTTCAGCCATTCCTGTAAGTGCAATAGAGGTCTCTTCTTCCAGATAGATAGCACCTTCCCCAGATGGCACCTTCCCCTGCCACCAACCCTACGGCGCCTGTTTTACCCTTCAGCCATTCCTGTAAGTGCAATAGAGGTGCCTCGCATTTCGGTACGTTCCTGCACATATCTTTACGTGTCTTTCTGTTTGTTTATGTCTCTAATATGTTTATGTTACGCCCATGTACGTTTCTTCACATCTCTGCACGTTTACTTACGCCTCTCTACGTTTCTTAACGTCTTTGGACGTTGTTTTACGTCTCTGTACGTTTATTTACGTCTCTGTACGTTTATTTACGTCTCTGTACGTTTATTTACGCCTCTGTACGTTTGTTTACGTCTCAGTACGTTTATTTACGTCTCAGTACGTTTATTAACGTCTCAGTACGTTTGTTTACGTCTCTGCACGTTTATTTACGTCTCAGTACGTTTATTTACGTCTCTGTACGTTTATTTACGTCTCAGCATGTTTATTTACGTCTCAGTACGTTTATTTTCGTCTCTGTACGTTAATATACGTCTCTGTACGTTTATTTACGTCTCTGTACGTTTATTTACGTCTCGGTACGTTTATTTACGCCTCTGTACGTTTATTTACGTCTCAGTACGTTTATTTACGTCTCTGTACGTTTATTTACGTCTCAGTACGTTTATTTACGTCTCTGTACGTTTATTTACGTCTCTGTACGTTTGTTTACGTCTCTGTACGTTTATTTACGTCTCTTTACGTTTGTTTACGTCTCTGTACGTTCGTTTACGTCTCTGTACGTTTGTTTACGTCTCCGTACGTTTATTTACGTCTCTGTACGTTTATTTACGCCTCTGTACGTTTATTTACGTCTCAGTACGTTTTTTGACGTCTCTGTACGTTTATTTACGTCTCTGTACGTTTATTTACGTCTCTGTACGTCCATTTACGTCTCTGTACGTTTATTTACGTCTCTGTACGTTTATTTATGTCTCGGTACGTTTATTTACGCCTCTCTCCGTTTATTTACGTCTCTGTACGTTTATTTACGTCTCTGTACGTTTATTTACGTCTCTGTACGTTTATTTACGTCTCTGTACGTTTATTTACGTCTCAGTACGTTTATTTAGGTCACTGTGCGTTTATTAAGTCTCTTTACGTTTCTTTACGCCTCCAAACGTTTATTTACGTCTCTGTACGTTTATTTATGTCTCTGTGCGTTTATTTACGTCTCTTTATGTTTATTTACGTCTCTGTACGTTTATTTACGTCTCTGTACGTTTATTTACGTCTCTGTATGTTTATTTACGTCTCTGTACGTTTATTTACGTCTTTATACGTCCTCCTCCCCTTGCCAACTCTTTTCAGCTTATCTTTGTTGACTCTGAAAGTTCTTAGCACCTTTTCCCTCTGTGCTGCAAGTTCTGAACAGGGTGCAAATTCAGTTGTCCTTCTACCACACCCCTTCCAAACCTCTCCCCACCCCTTTCGATCCCTTCCCCACCCCTTCCAATCTCCTCTTCAGGTGACTGTCAAGCCCTTCACATGCCCTACGCGCCCCTCCCGCGAATCTATGCCCGCCCAGGTGTCTTCGTCACAGCCCAACTCAATCTTACCCCACTCCTTCAAATCTCACCCCACCCCTCTTAATCCCCTTGCTACACCCCCCTCCCCAGGTAACTGTCGAGCCCGTCAGGTGCCCTCCGCCCCTCCTGCCACTCTATGCCCGCCCAGGCATGTTTCACACGGCCCAACTCAATCCCCACAGCACCCATTCAAATCCATCCCCACCCCTTGTAAATCCCCTTACTCCCTCCCTCCCTCTTCCTCTCCAGGCGCGAATCGAGCCCTTCACATGCCCGTCGCCCCTCCCTCCAGTCTATGCCCGTCCAGGTGTCTTCCTCACAGCAAGAATCACTCCCGCGCTGCCAGGTGTCAACGTCTCAGTGGTTGCTGACTCAGCAAGTGACGCAGGGGGTTGGAAGGCAGGGGAGTTGGTGGGATGGCGGTTGACAGAGGGGTGGCACGGAGTAGAAAAGGGGAGGAGGGATTTGGGGGAGAGTGATGGGGAGGAGGGAAGAGTAGCAGGGGCGGGGATGGAGGGGGAGGATGATACAGAGGAGGTTGTGCTGGGTCCGCTGTACGACGATGCAAGCTACCACGTGGAGCTGAGTAAGGTGGGTTACAGTGGAGGTGCATTGGGATGGTTGAGTGGCTGTTTTGTGTCAGTGGCTTGGGTTGGGAAGGGAGGATGATACAGAGGTGGTTGTTCTGGGTCCGCTGTACGACGATGCAACTTATCACGTGGAGCTGAATAAGGTACCGTGGAAGTGCATTGGGATGGTTGAGTGACCGTACGATGTTGGTGGCTTGGGGGAGGGAGGGTGATACAGAAGATGTTGCTCTGGGTCCGCTGTATGATGATGCACATTACCACGTGGAGCTGAGTACAATGGGTTAGCACTGAGTAGGGTACATCAGAGGGAGGAGATCACAGAGGAGGTTGTTTTGGGCCCGCTGTATGATGATGATGCAAGTTATCACGTGGAGCTGAAGAAGGTACCGTGGAGGTGCTTTCGGATCGTTGAGTGACTGTGTTGTTTTCACATGTAACTGTGCACATGTGATTGTCACGAATGCGATTGTTGCTATTGTTACTGTTGCGAATCTGACTGTTGCAAATGTGACTGTTGCGGATGTGCCTATGCAGGAAGGGTACATCTTGTCGTCCACTGGAGACAACTCTTTCACAGCAGAGAGAGTCAAACCCACACCGGTGAGCATGACTCTACACACCATCTGTGACTGCTGTGTGTCGGTAATAGTAAGACTGTAGTGTGCAGGAGGGATACATCTTCTCATCTTCTCGTCCACTGGAGACAACACTTTCACAGCAGAGAGAGTCAAACCCACACCGGTGAGTATGACTCTACACACCATCTGTGACTGCTGTGTCGGTAATAGTAAGACTGTTGTGCGCAGGAGGGATACATCTTCTCATCTTCTCGTCCACTGGAGACAACACTTTCACAGCAGAGAGAGTCAAACCCACACCGGTGAGTATGACTCTACACACCATCTGTGATTGCTGTGTGTCGGTAATAGTAAGACTGTTGTGCGCAGGAGGGAGGCATCTTCTTAGGGCGGGTCCAGCGCATACGTTTTCAGGTACTATACAGTTCATTCGTCGTGGTTCGAAAAGATATCAGGCGGTGCACAGCAGTTTTAAAATTGCACCGTTTTGAACCGTGAAGCATTACAGATTACCGCACTGAATGAACTGTAATGTACGGAAAACGTACGCGCTGGACCCGCCCTTATCTTCTCGTCCGCTCGAGACAACTCTTTTGCAGCAGAGAAGGCCGAACCCACACAGGTGAGTGTGGCTGTTGCGAAAGGCCCACACAGGTGAGTGTGGCTGTTGCGAAAGGCCCACACAGGTGAGTGTGGCTGTTGCGAAAGGCCCACACAGGTGAGTGTGGCTGTTGCGAAAGGCCCACACAGGTGAGTGTGGCTGTTGCGAAAGACCCACACAGGTGAGTGTGGCTGTTGCGAAAGGCCCACACAGGTGAGTGTGGCTGTTGCGAAAGGCCCATACAGGTGAGTGTGGCTGTTGCGAAAGGCCCACACAGGTGAGTGCAGCTGTTGCGAATGTTTTGGTTGCACATGCAACTGGTGTTAATGCGAGTGTGACTGTGCAGGAAGGCTACATCTTCTCGCTCACTAGAACTGACTCTTTGACAGCAAAAAGGGTCAAACCCACACAGGTGAGTGTGACTCTAGACCATATGTGACCGTGTCTGTCTGTGAAAATAAAGAATGTTGCAGGTGTTCCACTCTCCAGCAATGTGACTGTACAACGTGTGTGGCTATATGAGGGGATAATAACAAGCCTGTTCTGTGTCATCCACTCTTCAGCACCTACTATCATTCGCCTGACGTTACTTTTGAGAATTCCCAAAAGTAACATCAAGGTGTGTGACTGTGCATGAGGGGATGACAACAAGCCTGTTTCGTGTCATCCACTCTTCAGAACCTACTATCATTCGCCTCACCCTGTTCTACAACATTACATTGGCTATTACTCAAGACTCAGGTGGTGATGCTTGAGACGTCTAAAAATCAAGCTATAATTCGCTTGAACCCCTTTCTCCAACACGACATACCCGTATGCATCTACTCTCTCTCTCTTCTCCTGAATTAGATCCGCTATTACTCAGGCGGTGCTGCATCCCTCTTCTCTCTTGTTTCTTTCCTTCAACCCTCAAACATTACTTTCTTGTAGCAGCAAATGTGCAAGCCTGGCAGCAGCAGCGGGGGGGAGCAGCAAGAGTGCAAGTGGCAGTAGTAGATTCTCCACCGCTGGATCTGAGTAGGACGATACGAAGCTCGGAGAGTGAGCTGTTTCTTAGGCACCTCAAAAACTGTAGCCGCAGAGGCAAGCAGCAGCGGAGGGGAGCAGCAGGAGTGCAAGTGGCAGTAGTAGATTCTGCATCACTGGGTCTGAGTAGGATGATACGAAGCTCGGAGAGTGAGCTGTTTCTTAGGCATCTCAAAAACTGTAGCCGCAGCGTTGAGCAAATGAGTGGCAGCCGTGACTGCAAACCATGCTGCGACACTGTTGCTGCTGCAAGTACGTACACATGCACCACGAGTAGTACAGGGTACACTCTTGAGACGAGCCAGTAGTCAACTTGTTGCTGCTGCAAGTGCTCTGGTACCACAAGTATCAATGCATCGCAATGTACACTGCGCTATGCGCTTGGACAATGTCATACAATTCCATATGAGTTTGATTTCATGAGAGGACAAAAGACAGCAGCAGACTGTAGCTGTTGTATTGCATCACTTAGCAACAAAATGTACTGTGTATTCAGGGGACTGAACTGCAGCAGGAATATGCTCACACAAATCAGCTCCTATTAATAACACTGGGATAACCTAACCACCATCAAAGAGTGGGTCCCTCCCTCTCCCTCCTCCACTCAACTGCGATCCCCTAATTGGCATCCTGAACCCTAAACACTGCAACACTGAACCGAGAGCCCTACAGGTACATTGACATTTGGAAGTTGGAACCCCATTCAACCCCCCATAGAGACACATTAGTTAGCCTAACCCTGGCTGCCTTTTATGATTCTGTTCAGCTGCAAGCATCCTGTCACCTGTTCCCTAAACACACTTAGCTTCCCCTAAAACCTTGACCATGCCGACTCTCCATACTTGATTGTGTTTCAGCCTGGCAGCAGCAGACAGCCACTTCTGCTCTGGAGCAGCAGCAGCCATGAGATACACTTGCCAGGCCCCTTGCTACACTCACACGCGCTCCTCCTCCTTCGCATGGTCCCTCATACAGTCACACCTGCTTAGATCACCAAAAGGAACGCCCCAGCAGCAGCCCTGAGCCTGGCAGCAGCAGGCCTCCATCTTTCCTCAGGAGCAGTCGCAGCCATCAGGTACACCTGCCCCGTCTCCTCCCGTACTCCCCATACAGTCACAGCCCCTCATTGTAATCACGTTCCTTTAAATCACCAGCAGGAACGCCCCAGCAGCAGCCCTGAGCCTTGCAGCAGCAGGCCGCCACTTCTCCTCTGGAGCCGTGGCAGCCATCAGGTAAACCTGCCCCCTCGCTACACTCACACTCATAGCACCATGCAGCGCCTTCGACCCCTTTCCAGTCACAAATTCGTACAGATAATACGTGCGTGTAGTTCGTCTGGGTGTAGCAGTGAACGCACGTTTCGCCAGTACCCGCGAGCCAGGTGGCACGAAAAGACTGGCCACTTCCTCAATCGGACCGAAATCCGACACGTCTTTGGGCTCGAAGAACGAAAGTTTTACGTCGGCTGCCCGGCGGTAGATAACCGTGATGACTTCTTCTGATTCGTCCGCATAGACGAACCGTGCAAGCAGAGGAGATTTTTTTGCCCGGTTTTCGAGGCCTACGGTTGACATGGGCGCGTTGAGTGCCTCTTCGTCTGGCTGCGGCGTAACGTCGACGAAACCGGGTGGTAACCGCACGGCGAAATCCTCGCCGCGCACTCGCTGCCAGCTCGCCACGTCCAGCACCTCGCTGGCGGGACGACGGGAGGCGGGCTGCTGCGCGGAAGGTTGGGCGGAAGGCTGCGCGGAAGGCTGCGCAGAAGGCTGTGCGGAAGGCGGCGCGGAAGGCTGTGTCAGAGTGGTGGGATTGCTACCGCTACTGCCACTGCTAGTGCTAGTGCCACTGCTGCTGCTGCTGCTCGGGGTGGTAGCAGGCACGGAACCCGCGTCTAGGGTTACTGCTGGTGCTGGTGATGGCGCTGCTGCTGGTGCTGCTTCCGGTGCCGCTGCCGCCGGTGCTGCTGCTGCTGCTCGTGCGACTTCTGGTGTTGCAGTTTCTCCTACTATCACGCTCGTTTCAATCACGCCGGCTGCCTCCTCAGCGGCCGCGAGCCTTGGAAGCAGCGGCTGCGCGAAGAACGCGGCGGAGATCGCGGCGGTGGTCGCGAGAAGGTCCCTTCGCGTCGCGGCTGCTGACATGGACGCAGGGAAGCCTGCGGATGGGCCAGATTCGGATGCAGAATCATCAAGGGTTGCGCGTGCCTGACCGCACAACTTCGACAATCTTCGCGAAGGAATTAACGAGCTTCGCGAATGTAACTGGCGAGAAGCGAGCAAGGACCGCGACGACGACAAGCCTGACGCGCGAGGCTCGGCAGGCGTGGATCGGATTCGGCATTGCGAAAATGAATGCGGTCGCGTATCAGGCCCGAGGGGGCTTGCTCCGGAAACCGCGCAGGAGGTCGGCGCGACGCAATGCGACGCGAGGACGGACGCCATTGAGAAATGCGGAGAACGCGCTAAGTCGCAACGAAGAATGTACCAGGAGAGTCGCGCAGGTGACAGGGACGACGAATGCTGCCTGCGTGCGCTTCGCTAACTGTTTGACGAACTTCGCTGCGCGTCGCACGTACTAACGAAGCCTATACCTATCAGCGTCCGACCAAAAGAGCCACTGTTGAATATTGGCAGCGCTTTGATGAGGTGAGGGAGGAGGGGAAAAGGAATAATTCGTGGTATAGAGGCACCTTTTTGTCGTCATCATGGCACTATTCGCGTTATAGAGGCACCTTTTTGTCGTCGTTATGCCATTAGTTTGAACAGAAATGCAACTTGAAGAATGTCGAAATTTCCTGGAGTTCTCTGAGCCTGTCCAGAATGTTGGAAATCGTAATTTGCCAGGTCATCCGGTACTATCGAAGCATGCTGATGTGGCTGCTAGTACTCTGCGTAAACCATGTCACAAGTCCCATCCGACACCTGTCGGCTCCGAAGGTGGCCACATCGTCATACCGCTCGTCAAGCAACAAGCTCGTGGCGGCTGCTGGTAACCTCGAATCAGCAACGTCGCACGGCTGTCGCTGAAAACTCCCGCAAGCTATAAACCAATCACAACAGGTTCGCTGTCAGTACTTCACCCGCGAATCTCGGGGCCAACATCACAGGCATGCAAAATATTATGGTAGCCCTATTCGATTGTATGCAAAACCGTCGAAACCTCGGTTTTACAGGTTTTTGACATATTGCTCTAGAATTGTGGCTCTATGTACTTCAAAGCTAGATTTCTACCACGCTTTGTTGTCCTATAAAACTCGATTTATTCGGGCGACTGTTCTGCCATATGAGCAGCACTGTTCGCTACACCTGCAGAAAAAAATAAAACTCAATCGGAAAGGGGTGCGACTCGGGAGGCATCAACCCTAAAAACAATGCCCTTTCCCGTGTTTAGGGTTGATCCTTCCCTTAAATGAGTCCCGGTCCCTAGGGGTATTATTTTTTTTCTTGCCTGCCCTTACAGCACCCGGTAGCAATATATATTACTTTCATTCCAACGAATTTTCCGGTCGAAATTATCGTGCACATTCAACGGAAAATTGTTGCCCGCAAGAATCGTTATCAGGCGCCAAAAAAGGCGTGGTAAGAATAAAATAAAAATAAATTGAAAGCGTATTTCATTGTTGCACGTATTGCTTTCTTTTTGTGCTGCGTCAGCTGTTACACAGTGTTTTGAGTGGCTGTACCAGACAGATTTGCGCAGTGGAACTGGGGTATCGACGGTTTTGCATACAATCGAATAGGGTTACCAGACTGTTTTGCATGCCTGCGATGTTGGCCCCAAATCTCGTCCTCCCACAGCCAATCCACTCTGCTCCTCCCCATCCCAACCAAATCTTAAATCGTCGCATGATCGCATTTACCTTTGCTTGTCATTCTTCAGACTTCAGCCCTAAACCAGTGCAGGCCTTTTCCCTAACGTGGCATGAATTAGTGGCTAGAATTATGCTTGCATGAGTTGCTAGAATAAGAAACCTGTCGCCCTGAAGTTTCTTTTTTCAGGCAGCACAATTGCAAGTTTCGCATAGGCTCGTGAATTTGGGAGGTCAAGCTTACAATGGGCTTAGATATATCTGTTGTAGCGACTGTCAGTGGTCTTCGGGTCTGATGTAGTATTTTATGATCTCGTGCTCCTCATTAGCTACTCAGTAGCATTTTTCGTTTGGTCGCCGCTTCTGAAAGGTCTCCGAGACTCATTTCCTCACTCCATACAGCTACTCGCTGCAATTTGAAAGCGCCAGTCAGCGTCAGTCAGCTTCAGTCAACTTTCGTCAGTGCTCCGTGTCAAACAACCATGAATGTACCTGTTGCAGCCTCCGTTTCTGTTCGCAACTCGCCTCTGGTCCAGCTGCCAACCAACCGCATTTGCCTCGCTCCATCTCCTGGATCCTCTTCCGAACCTTCTCTAGAAGACAGGCAATACAGCGCACGCGTCAGCTGTCAGCGACAGGGAAATGCGAGAAATTTCCCCACTGGGATTACGGGAAAAAACCGTTTGTGGAATGACAAGGCGGCTCATTGCACTGAATCTGATTACTCAAGGAGGATGAGAAGCAGCTCGAGAAGTATTGGGAGAACTGGCATGAGAAGCAGTACGTGGTCGGAAGGGTTCAGAGACGAATGTGCCGGATCCCTGCCGTCCAATATGGCGTTGAAATCAGCACCGTTCATTGGTGGGACTACGAGCATGAACCGTCGCGATGCTTCTCGAGTTGTAATGTCGGCATCCGAAGCTTCCAGTCAGGCCGCACCGACTCAGGTCAGTCTCATCTTCATTAGATTCATTAATATCTATACGGTCCGACATTGTTACATTTTTATGGCCAAATAACGTCTCACCATCTGGTATTGACAAGGCTGATTGACATGTCGTCCAAAAGCTGGAAACACCGATTCTGTAATTTCAGTGGCTGAGCGATCGCGACCCGCGGCAAAGTTGCTCCAATGATAGCTCAGAACAAACAAAAGCGA